AAGACATGATACTGCTTACACCAGAAACCTTACAAATCTGAAGTCTAGAAAAGACTCTCCTGACATTTAAAAAAAAAATCTGATTAATTTTGAGGTTGCTGTGCTATATTTCCAGGAGACTGATTTATGACTGTATGACTCCTGTATGACTTCATGAGCATGGCAGAAAAGCAACCTGTGGAAATACTGTGTCTTAACCTAGTTTAAAGAGAAAGGCTGCATTGCCCAGGGCTTCCGCCTGCCTGAATACTTCTATGTTAAAGATGATGGCAACAGGAAAGGGGAAATTTAATTCATATTCATCAAGCCAATGTTTGAATTTCTAGGAAGCAACTAATGTGACTTTGGGGGGCAGATTTCATGCACCAAGCACAGTAAGTATTCTCCTACTGCTTTGGGCATATCTCCACCTGTCATAGTGCTGTGACAGCCACCTTTTGTGCCGAAAGCAGCCTCCTTACAGCAGCAGTGCTGCAATTCAGACTAAGCCCTAAATATTTATTGGCTTCCTGGGTGGATTTTACAGCCTTCATTGAGCTCCTGACTTCTGTGAGTAGRCTGCTGTCAGTATCAAAGACAACTGCTTTAAAGATAGCTCAGGTATGTCTACAGCACTGCTCGTTCCAACACAGACAGCGGTATAAATGCATCCTTTAGTGGTCCTGGAGTTTGCATCACTTTGCATCAGGTGCTACCTATCAGCTACATACCAATAAAGGGGCAYGGTAAAAAAGCTGTATTTTAAAAAACAGGGAAATATGAAGTCAAATATGAAATATATTTCATATTAAATGTGAAATATGAAGTCTTTATATTTCTCAAATGCAGGCCATTTCTATCCTGACAGCAACAGTTGTTGTCTAAGACTGTACCACCTGGACAAAGACTGTGTCTCTGAAGCAGAGTGAAGAATCACCTTGAGCACTAAAGGACAATAAAACCATCATAGGAGGTGAGACCTGAGGGAAAACAGTCTGGATTTTGCTAGCAGCACAGCAGCAGCAGGAATATAGGCTGAGTAGGAGACAGAAGGTACAGCAGAAACTGTAAGTGAGCAGTTGATGTGCTGCGTCTGCAACTGTGGCACTACCACCTGTGTTTTCTGTGCTTGCTCTRGTAAGCCTTCTAGCTCCTTGCTAGTGGGCTGCTGTTTTTAAATGGCTTTGGAATGAGCTGTTTTGCAATAAAAGGACAAAGCGTTCTGTTCAGCTCTATGTGAATATGGTTAACATGCAGTTTGCAATCTGTCTCTCCCCAGGCCTGAGCACATGGTGTGGCCAAGTTCATCCYGCTGTGAGAATATGGTAGGGTGCCTATACCACACTGCCCCATGCTCTGGGGTCAGGTTTAAACTCTCTGTGATTTGCTTCATTTGTTACTGGAACTTGAGATACAGTAATTTGTGGTAGCAACCAAAGTAGCAGTTGTGGATTCCAGTTTTCACTCATTCCGACTGGTACCTTCCCTCTCCTCTTTCTTTCTTCATCATGCAACATTGAACATTATTTATTCAGCTGTGGCCTGGAGACAGGAAGGAGCAATGTGGTCATGCACCAAAACTGCCCTTGTTTATTCCAAGCAGCTCTTGGCAGACAATATGGTGCATGGGCAAATGTAATTTTCTGCATGGTCTTCACTGACCCTGCTGGAGGGAACAGGAAAACAGTCACCACAGCAGACTGTAGACACCTCCTAAGGTCTGCGGTGATCCCCTTCCTGTGTACTAGGTACCCAGTCATAGTCTGAGAAATTGATATGATTTACTGGTCAGGCGCCTGGGGTGTCTACAGGCTGAGTTGTATTATGGTCTGAAAGAGTCTGCCTTTGATACCTGCCTGGAGGGTGCCCTTTCTCCCCACATGGGAAGCAAAGAGCTTCTTCACAGAAGGAGCTTTGCGCCTCATTGGTGAGGGCACTTCCTGCCTAAACAGCCTGTGTGCTCCAAGAGTGAAACTCCAATTAATTCTTCATTCATAAAATTAATTCTTCATAATTAATGAAGTTTAATAATCCTCAATTCTTCATAAAATAGCAGAGACGATCATTCTCCTTCTTGGGTGTTGATTCTTCATTGTAACTGAGACTTAGCCTCACGCTCAGACATGCTGCCTGCAGAGAGTCTCCGGCAGCATTTCCCAGAGCGACTCCTGCCCTTGCTCTATGTTGCTCACAATTTTGCAGTAAAGAAGTAAGGAAAAAGTAAAGAAGTAAAGTAAGTAGTAAAGCAGTAAAGAAGTAAGGTGCTGTCACCTTGTACAAAGGGATGGAAAAAAAAGACAAATAATTATCAAATCTTAAGAATGTCTCAATTCCAGAGGGTGAGAGCGCTGTCCTTATGCCTCAGAAATGATGCTTAATTAGGGCCCAGTTACCCTCCTAGGCTGCTTTCATCCAGAACCCTGAAAGCAGCTTGTGAACAAACCCCGAGTTTCTCAGGAAACCTCCCCTACTCTTGCTTCCAGGGGGAGGAAAGAGGAGGCTAAACTTCAGAATCATGAAAAGGGYTTTTGCTGCTGAAAACGGGTAGATTATCCTCCTAGATATCTGTCCTCCTAGTTACCTACTTCCTTGTTGTGAATGCCTGGGAGATCCTTTGTCCACTGCTGGACACCACACTAGGAAAATCTAAAAGAGGTAGGAGCAACTGAACTAGTGAACTGTGTAGGGAAGGATTTAGAGGKTAAGATAAACTTACCCTACTTTATATAAATAGCTTTAATAGTTAAATAGATTGGCTAAGAGCTGAGGAAAGGGTTATTGTGACCTGCTGACAAATGAAAGGAAAAAATAATGGGAGAGCAAGAGATATAAGGAGGCATAAATAGGAATTTGAAATTAATGCATAAATTTGATTTAAATTTAGTTGACTTCCGATTTGTGCTATTCCTTCAGACCAAAGTGTAGATATTTTAGGCAAAGATCATGAGTTTAGTAAGTAGTGTTATTCAAACCTGGATTTAGGAAGCTTTTAAGAGTGACCATTACAAATTCTTACTGTCCTCTTAACTAATGAGAAAGGGTATGTTTCAGAAGAGACTTTTTATGTCTAGCACCTCTGGCTTCCAGTACCTGCTGTTGAGATTGATTTTATGAAGACTACATGTACAGTATGATAAAATACCTTCTTTAGGGACTCCTCCATCTGCAAAGGAGAACAGCCTCTGATTTGTGTCATGGTATGAAATGACAATGCCAAAAAAAAAAAAAGGCACCATGCTCTCCATGTTCTTGCAGACTGTTCACATTTGGAATTTTAATTGGCATTTAAATTCGGCTTAGCATTAACATTCTGAGGGGGGAAAAAAAAAAAAAAGAAAAAAAAAAGAGAGATTCCAATATATTTATCCCTGCAGTAGAACAGATTGCACAGACTCCCACAGTAGTATTGGGTTTCTGTATAGACTGAGTCTTCCTTATGTTGTAGCAGATTTCCAATTGTGGTGATAGCTTTTTCAGACCAAGCAAAATCTTTGTAGTCCATGTTCAAAATAACCTTTTTGTAGTTTGATAGGAAACCTGACCCTGTTCCCTGATGTTTCCCGAGGAGATAGAAGTCCCCCCTGAGTAGGGCACACAGATTCTAGAGATTGTATATAATGGGCATGAAAGAAACACTCTGATAAGAGTGTTTTTCAGRTATCGAGTTTTCTGAACTGAGAAAAATAGAAGCTCTCTCTCTTCCTCTTGCTCATGACATAGGTAAGGGAAAAATCTGTAATCTGATTTTGGTGAGTCTTCCTGCTATGTTTCTTTAGTCAATAAGGAAAACATTAATCTGCTTGGGTTGGGTATTGCATTGAAATGTTCCTTTGATGTTGTGTGCCTGCCCCATAAACCACTTAAGAAATATGTAGTATTTCCCTTTCTGCTTTTGTTGTTGTTGTTTTTGGAACTGCCAGTCTTTGATGAGTTTGGGGAGATATGAAGACATTGTGGCTGTTACCTGGGTCAAGGTTGGCTGTTTGGAGAGGCRTTTACGGGCTAAAGGCGGCTATGAGGTGTCTGCAGTAAAAGAACTCRCTCTGTGAGCCTCAGTCCTGGTGCCTGTGTCCTTTGGATTCCCTCCCTGACTGCTGCTTGGCTCCACTTTCTCCCCTGGCTCTTTCTTCCATACTTTGCATTCCTCTGTATGTAGAAGTTCTGCAAAATTGTTGCTGCTTGGCGAGTCCTCTCCTTAACTGTAGTCCACAGCCTTTTGGACTATGAACATACAATCATGTAGGGTTTTTGACATCAGTGTGTTTCCATTCCCTGAGGAGCCCAAAAACTTCCCTAAGATTCACCTCTCTGAGTCTTCATCTGCTGAACCACAAAGGCCATGCTTGACCAGTCTTTCACAAAGTAGCTCCCTAAAACATGAATCATTTGACTGCCTTTTTGTGTTTTTTGGACCTTTGTCCTATAATACAGTGACCAGATTTGTACACATTATTCCAAAAGAGACCATCCAGCTGCCTTACCGAATGCCAAAGTAATAACGTCTGTGGTTTATACTCTGTAGCCTTCCATATACAACCCAAAACCTTGTTTGCCTTTGTTACTGTTGCCAGATGTTCTGTGGATGGATTTGAGGCGTATTGTGGTGAATGTCACCATGCCAGTGAATTTCAGCAAATTTAAGCAGCTTTGAAATGTTTCCTTTTTGTAGATTGTTATATGCAAGTTAAACCAAACTGTATTGTCCCTTGAACTCCTCTGTTCTGGTTACCTCTTTTTCATACTGAGTCACACTACGTGTTAATAATTTCTCTTCAAAAGCCTTTTTTCCTTTATCAAGTCTCTTTCTGATGCTCTGCTTTGCTGGAAACTCCATCTGAACAGCCCAGCTTTGAGGGCTTAGGCAGTGGGATGGCAGTTTTATTGTCATTAGTTCCCAGCTTACTTGAATTCTGTTCCTGACTCTTGGTGAGAACAGGAGCTCTTTCCAAGACAGCGAKCAAGAGGAGGAAACARCCTGTGAAAGGATGATGCCTTCTCACCTTCTCTGTTTTTCCCTGCAGATTTGCTGGCAGCCCAGGAATACCACTGCTTGCTGCAGCTGCTCTGCCCCGACTTCCCCATGGATCTCACTCAGAAGGCAGCAAGGTGGGTCCTCATCTGCTCSCTTAAAACAAGATCACTCCTACACACATGGGCTTAGAAACTCCATCTGTGGGTTAACATATGGACAGGGAGATTCAGGGATAAAGATTTGGGGGAGAATGATAATTGAAGCTAGGAGTGGGGTGTTTTACTAGCAGTGAGAAAGAATGTGTGTGTGAGGTATAGGGAGGCAGAAATATCAGTGCAGGGTTAAATATATGAAGAATGCTGCTGCTGGCTTTCTCTAGGCTCAGAAGATGAGTTGCATGTAAAAGAAACCATGTTTTCAACTGACATGATTGTAAACTCTGTTTTAAATAATGTTTACAATCTGTATAYGTTCCTCCCACTCCAGCCTCCTGCGGTTGAGCGCATTTTGAAGGTGCCAGTCTCTGAAGCAGTGCCACAGTGTTTTAAAGTATGTGAGCTAAGAACTTTGTGTACCAGGCCACACATGGTAGCTAATCTGTTTGAAACTTTATTTTAATCTAGACAAGGTCTAAAGCAGATAGCTAGCTCAAGGCACTGATAATGTGATACAGAGGTTTTTTTATTGATAGCATTTGCTGATTCCAGTCCAGCCCAGATAGTTGATTATTAACCATCTGATAGTGGAAATGTAATAAGGTATTTGCATCTGTTTGCGGGGGGAGGTCAGTTCAGATCTCAGTAGGAGTGCACACACACATATTCTAACCACAGCAAGATTACTGAATAAATAATCTTGTTCCTAGCAGTCTCGGCAGTGGAGGCCCAGAAACTAAACTTCTCATAAACCCAGATATGATGTGTCTAGGCACACACTCAGGATATTATTTTCTTCAGTATCAGTCRCATGAAAATTATTTTCAAAAAGGAGAGTAAAAAGGGAACTGTTACCATCTGCAAGTACTTCCACTCAGCTGATTCTTTGAGTTCTTCTCTAGCTCCTACATGCTGCTGTCCCAACTGCAGAACTGCAGTTAGGGCCACGTAGGTTCAATTAAAACTGAAAGTCGAGTGCTGCTTTTCCTTCTTGCTCATCAGTGGCCTTTGTGCTCTCAAGAGAGCGCAAACTTGGCCCCCAATGCCAGACTAAGACAGAATGCTAGCCCTGCAGCAGGAATGGATCTGTTGCTTCCTTCCAGGGAGGTACAAAGCGCGAGACCCCTGCACTGGTTTGCGTTTCGTAGGGTTCCAGCTAAGCTGAGCAGGAATTTGTGATGGAGCATGAAGGGAGACTTCAACATATCTACACAAGTTATGATGTTTGTGTCAAGGAATTTAACACACAAGGCTGTTGTAAACTAGAGGCCCCATTCAGGGGCCTGCTGCACTGCTGTGCGTGTGCCTGAGAGACAGACAAGCCGGCTCGGGGAGCAGGTGCTAGAGAAATGAGATCTCTGTCTGAGGCACCCAGGCTCAGGTGGGGATGATCTCACTCCTACTTTTGGCTGGCTAGAGATTTGCTTGCATGTTGCTATTATTCTTTTGCAAGCTAATCTGCCTGAGCAATTTTAATAAAACTTCTAAAACATCCTTTTCTCTCCTTCCACTTCTTGCTCTCTATCTTCTTTCTTATTCTGTCCTGGTCTAGTTCCTGCTTCCTATGTGTCCTGCAAGTGTCCTCCTTGGTTTGTGCCCATTAGAAGGGTGAACTCTGTAGGCTCCTCTCCAGCACTAGTTGACTAATTCCTTGCAGAGCACAAGCATCACATGCAGACCTGGTGGCACTGCTACTCCTTTATTCCATGTACCCCAGGCAACTTTGTTGCTAATTTGCTTTGGGAAAGGAAGTAAATAAAGTAGGGGCAGGATCAGCCGCAGCCTTCACTGATACAGCCAGGTCCTGTGGGATTATTGGCGCTTTTGGGAAGAGATCTCTCTGAGCTGTAGCCTCAGTGCTGCATGACTGAGATGATCTCACATCGCAGTGCACTCCGCTTGTCCAGGGGCTGTTGCTATGCACTGATAACAAACACTGGAAGGGAGTAAGACCAGGAAATATCAGGGCAGAAGAACAGAGGCAACAACAGTATAGGTTTTATTAGTGTCACAGCTGAAAGCTCCGTTTTCCTGTTAAATATGCATGTGAATGCACAGGTCATACCCAAAAAACAAACAGTCTATATGTCTCTGTGAATTTCCTTGGGCTTCTTTTCCCCCCGCTATCCCACCCCTGCATGTCTTAGCCACTAGCAGATTGAAGATTTAATCTTCAGAGTTACCTTTAATCTTCAGAGATAACTTCTGGCTTTCTGAATCTTGAAATTGCAAAAGGACAGAAAAGGCAAGGATTTTTCTGGTTTGATACCATCAGAGAGCTCATGTTGAACTGATCAATGCTAATGGACGTGGGCCTTGGAAAACTCTGTACTCCTCTTGGTAAATCAGGGCCTGAGAGTCCAGATACTACTCTTTTTGTGTATTACATTTATTTTTGCCCCCAGAGAACTGTTGATCCGTCCTGGCTTTATGGCACATTGTGTTCTTTAGCCTTTAACGGTAGCAAAGAACAATAAAAGTCCTTTCAACTTGCCTGGTCTAGAATTTGTCCTGGGGACTTCCTCTCTAATCTTGGTTTCTGAGATTCTAGCTGCAATCAGCACATCATWAAATTTCCCCCTTGGCACAGCACCAAGGCTTTCCTGCCGGTCAAGCCCACTTGAACCCTGCAAGACCACTACACTCTTACCAGAGTCCCTCAAGTGTAGGCATCTTCCTTCAATCCTTTCCAGAGTTTCTCCTTRATTTGCATTATTTGCTGCATGCCGAGCACTAGCCTTGTAAATAAGTCTGTGCCCCTAAGGGCCTAAAGCCTAATTCTGACAAGAATGAATAAAGGATCTCCTAAAATACCAGCTACTGGGTGAACTTATTTGAGTCCCAGCTTAAACTGTCAGAGTTGGCCCTTAGCTTTGGCCTTGTTGCCTGGGTTATGGTCAGGATTCTCTCCCTGTCAGGCATGGCAGGGAAAAGGTGAGGATATGTTGCACACGATGCTCTCCCAGCTTCCCTGGTTGTGCAGTCAGCTGCCTATGTGAGGAAGGAGCCGGCTGCAGTCAGTCTCCTCCTGAATTATTGCATTGATGTAAAGATTTCTCAGCTTGTCMGGAGGGCAGACTCCTGGGCCAAGTGGAGACAATAACCCTGCAGCAGGGAGCACCTACTTCTAGTTGGACACTGCCCTGTCACGCACAGGCTGCACGATCCTCCTCGCAGGCTCCCTGCTGCCCTTCTGTGAGGAGGAGGAAGGGAGTTGGTGTTGCAGAGCCCAGGCGTTGACCATAGCTCCAGATCTAACAGGCGAAATGAGTTGTCRTGTAGGTGATATAGCATTGACTCTCCACAAAGCAAATGCATGAAGAATTCCCACACTGTTCTCCTGCTTCTCCAGGATGGGGAAATCCACTGGAAAAAGGAAAAAGAAAAAAAAAGCTTTGGAGCTTGTATTTTGAGAGGATCTGGGGGACAGACCATCATTTCAAAGAAGAGAGTGCTGCTGCTCAGCGATATGGCCTGTAGCATTTCCAGTGTGCTTAAAGAGTGGTTGGAAATGCCAGGGGCTGAGTAAAATTGCCTGAGAGATGAAGATGCTCTCCCTGCCAGCTTCAAAGCCATTTCCTTGATGTGGCCACTGACAATCTCAGTAACATGCTTATTATTGAGAATTAAGAACTGAAGCTACTGCTTCTTTAGACAGGAGGAGGAGGAGGCTTCTGGAGCGTAATAAATAAATCAGAAGCACTTTGACATCTTCAAAGGGTTTTGTTTTAAATACTGGCTTTTCTCCTGGGGACCCTCCTAGCCCCAGCCTTTCTTCTTGGAGATAATTAATTCAAGCTGCTCTGCATGTTTCATTTTGCCACAGCGAACAGAACTGGTCTGAGTGGCAGGGAAGGAAGCCTCTTGAAAGAGCCTAGAGCTCTTCTAGGTCAGTCTCCCACACAGTTCCCTGGAGCCTCTTTCAGGAGACAGAGTAGTGTATCCCCACCAACCTTTTTGGCCATTGCTGCTGCAGGAATAGGCCCATGGATTGCACTGGGCCCCATGTTCAAAGGTACCCTGCTACTGCAGGCCTGCTCCTCCTCAGAGTAGCTTGGAGGTCTATTAAAAAAACATAGAGCTGAGAGGTGGTGCTACATGGTGAGTCGTTTATCTGAAGATTTTGTTCTTTCCTATCAAAACTGAGTGTTTCCTTTTGTTTCCTGTTTGACCTCTCCTTGATCAGCTGAAGTTCCCCACTCTAGAGACTGACCTTTTCATCCTTATGTAGTAGTAATGACCAGATTTACTGTGGTCGTTGTCACTGTAATGAAAATCTTTGCCCTAACTTGGTTCTGAAATCCAGAGTTTTCTCTTGAAAGGAAGGGATGGACTTTGCTATCACTTCCACTTCATCTTTATTGCCTTTATTGTATTGTATTCATGAGGTGTGCTTCAAAATAGGGGTGCAGAGATATCCTTTACAGAGAGAATGAAAACATTCTCTGGTCTGAGAATTTTTCAGTTTCTATGAAATTTGATTTGAGCTGATAATACTGACAAAGAGACTAACTCATYGGGAATGGAGAATAGCACGTTCATGTGCATGGTGTGTAGTTAGGAAAGTGATTGTTGGTGCAAATTATATATTATGCTRTTTCTTCTTCAATCAAGTGGAGTTTGTTTAACCCTAGGTTGGGAGTTAATAACTACTGTTGTTTCCATGAATTTGAAAACAGCCCAGTTGATTCAACTGTGCTATATAGAAGAATGGCATCATTCTGCATGCACTTGTTTCATAGTGTGGTGCCTGGCTTGTTTTTAGGACAGTTCCTCTTCAAGCTGCCGGGCGGCTCAGCCTCGCAGGCTTCCAGACCCGYGTGTTTGCCAGGCTTCCTTCCTTCCTTTACGGCCGCGGGGCTGTCAGTCCTCCACATCCCCCCTAGCTGTGGTGTGCGACTGCGCTGGCAGTCGGGATCAACTTCTGACTGTAAGTCCTCAACCTGCTTTCATGTGATATCAGGATGTCCACATCCACCCTGATGCTTGTGTTCCYATGCCTTGGGACTAACCTCTTCCACTGAGCCCACGGCTGGTAGTACTCGGTAGTTCCGACTGCTTAGCTGCTCTTTCTCCACTGCTGGAATTTCAGCTTGCAGACTAGTCTGGCTGCAGTCCTTGGGCAGCAGCTAAACTTTTTCTCTCGTTCCTAGGATTGTGCTGATGGATGATGCTATGGATTGCCTGATGTCTTTTTCTGACTTCCTGTTTGCCTTCCAGATCCAATTCTACTACTCAGGTAAATGCTGGGAAACTGCTGACTTCACCCACCACCATTTCTTGTCCCATTTTACAGCCTCAKAGGTTCCATATCCCTGCACTTTTTTTTGAATTGATAAAGAGATTTTTTCATACATATATGTGTGTGTGAATATATGTAGATAGTGGAACCCATTACACAAGATATCACTGAAGTCAAGAGCTTAGCAGACTTTGTTCAATCCGGAGGTTCCGGATTGTTACAAATAACAAGATATATGTAATTGTTATGGATTATGCAGTTATATGTTTTAGAGAGCCTTGAGACATAAATCTTCAGCTTTATCTGCAGCAATCTAGCAAATGTCAGCAACTAACAATTGCTTTTATTAGGAACAACTTTTTCTGTGATACCTGAATAGAGTTTCTTTCTTTGAAGTATGGGCGCCTGCTAGAGGCAGGATAAGAACAGCCCAGTGCAAACCTGGCCCGCTGCTCTGTCCCAGACATGGACCAGGAGCTGATGCCTAGAGAGGAGGAGGAACTTGGCAAACGTTCACAATACTTCCCCCTAATACTCTCCCAACCACGAGCTGTTTTGAGCTCAAAGAGTTTCTGAACAAGTGTAGTTTCTATGGACACAGGAAGCCTTAGTGGATTTCTCTGCTGTGAACTTGTCCAACCTCTCCTTGAAATCAATTAAAGATCTTTTAACTTCCACAGCACTTTTTGGTGAAGAGTTCCCCAGATCTGTCACCTGTCCCACTTTTCATGTTCTATTTGATGGCCCCTGGTTGGAARGGAAAGTGAGCAGTTAATCCCTATCTACCCTCTTCATATCATTTGTCTTTTATCATGTTTGGCACCTCCCAGTTGTTTGAATTTTAACTAGATGGAGGTACTTCTTTTGAAGCTCCTGACACAAAACGGTACATATGAATTAATGTGAGGAACAAGAGGGAAGCCTTCTCCCTGGAAAGGTGCATGAGCAGAGCTGCCCCCCTGCCCAACAGTAATGACTGTTTAAGTCCTTTTAGGGATAGATATGATCCCAAGCACTGGGAACTGCTGGGATCTCACTCATCCAGTCSCTGGCAGAGCACGCTTCCCAAACACACATCAGCTCTTGGATTTCTGTCCGCTCACACGGTTAGCTCCCTCTGATGGATACARCTCACAGTTGGCCTTGATCAAGCAGCAAGGCACAATAGATCTAGGATACTGGGAGAAGCTGGGTTGGAGCGTTGTCTGTGGTTAGAGAGTAGACTAGGGTGGCCTGCTGATCTGATCCCACCTGTCAGTTTCCATCTTTCTAGCAGTTAGAGTCACCCCCTGTCCCTAATACAAACRCCTCTTTTCTCAGTACTTGTCTGTATACACCTCCCTTGCAATCCCCTGTACATAACCTAACATTATCCATGACAAGTCATCAAAAAAGGCCACAGTTCAGACTAGTGGGTTTGGGTTGGGCAGAGCCAGGCTTGCTATAGCTTAAGCTAGGGACAGAAGTTATGTTTGGAAGATGATATAACAAATATTTCCACTGAGCTAGGGAACCTCCGCACAGCCTCGGGGCGCACAGACCTCGCTGCTGTGCTCCCCACCCGCCTCACGGACGTCTGCACCCAGGGCGCCCCTGGGGGCTCCGTGGCACCRGCGCGCACCCAAAGGCACCCTGTGCGCGCGCGCCCGACGCCCCAGCCCGCTGCCTCTCGCCAGGCCCGCGCGCAGCCTCGCATGCGCTCTCCCACCAACCCACACACATGCAAACCACTCCGAGTGGAATCTAGATTTGTAAACTGCTGACCACATCCATAAACAAACTTGTTTAAAATTAGACTCTTGCAGTAAACAGTGGGTAGTGTGAGGAGCCTGGGGAGAGGCTTTCTGCCAACTCCAGCCCTGACCTGCCCCGGCCCTTCCTTCAGATCCCATGTTATATTTACTTTGGAGCGGCACAGAGACAAGCTAGGGTACAGCCTGGAGCCCCAACTAACTGCGCCCTTTGTTCCTCTTTCAGTTCCAGATATTTTGTTCAGAACTTGAATGAGTTCTCAGTCAGTGGCWGTAGATGGAAGACAAAGACTTTTGAGACTTTGCAGTTAGTTTTGTGCTTGATTTTAGCTTTTACCCATGTGTTTACCCACGTGTTAGCTTCTCTGTGCTCTAGAGGAAGCTCAGTGAGATCGTGGTTTCTCATAATCGTCCCTGTAGGAAAGCCAACAAGGTACATGCAAATGTCTGTTTGTAGCACATGCTTTCCCAGTTTCTGATCTGAATTTGKAGGATGCCTTAGTGTGGTGCTCAAATTCACTTCCTCTTGGTTTTGTGTACAACACAGAGCAGGGCATGACAATTTAATCCCAGGTAGGCCAGGAATGTGCTTCATTGGTATTAGAGCCTTAAGTTGTAAGTCACCTTCTGTTTTTTCAGAGTTCCTGGAAAGTGTAGCTGCCATTTATCAAGACCTGTTGGCTGGTAAGAGTCCAAACACTGTGATTGTGCCAACGTCATCCTCTGGGCAACATCGGCAGCGCCAGCCCCCGAATGACTGCAACCCACTCGATGGGGTTGAGGCATCTCTCTTCTATCAGTGCCTAGAGTCCTTGTTTGACAGATCGAAATACAGGTATGAATGGTCCCCAAAACACAGTKTTGAAGTCTGTGTCCTTGTAGACTTTTTGTCAGGTTGAAGCTATGAAGAAGTATAGGACTTTGAACAAAGTCCTGTGTATTCCTTGTGACTCCTGTGTAGGTTTCATTGGAAAAATATCAAGGAAAAGATCAACTGTAACTGAAAAACATTTCATTGACATGTGAAACGTGGTTTTGAGGAAATTCTTGAGGTAAAATGTTGATTTGGAGATCTGATTTCCTTCTCATTCTACTTTGGCACCTTCCTCAAGGATACGTTCAATCTACCATCATGAGTTAACTATAGGAGATAAACAAATGGATCTCTGTACCTGGACAACAAAGCACAGGACAGGCACAGTGGGATGGATGGAGATTGGCAGCTGAGCACCTGGATAAGATCACACTACTAGTCTGTACTTGACCCTCAAATTGAGCTGATGTCCAGTCACAGGGCCTGGTCATAAGACTAGCCTTAGTTCAACAGGGACAATGCCTAACCTTACCATTATAATTTTGACAGACATGTTCTTTGTAGATACTTGCAGGTAGCAGGCAGATGCCCTGYGAGGTCATGAGCTAGATCCATAAAAAAACTCAAGACACAAGTTGCAACTGATTCCTGCTTTAGATGCCTGAATCCATGTTTGTGATCTACCAGACATTGTTGAATTGCTGTAGACATCTCCCTGGAATTGATGGAATCTGGACATTCCAGGCTTTCTAGTTGTTTTAAATAACCAAAGCTCTGCAATCCCTGTATGCCCTGAGAGCTGTGGCTGGAAATGATATTGTGAGCCCATCTGATGATTGATCAGGCGCTGCAGGATGCTGTGGGGAGAGCCTTTCCCAGTCMCTCACCCAGGAGCTCAATCCTCAGCCAGGCCTTGGTAATTACCTTTTCTGAGGGATCACGAGCCCACACCCAGGCCTCCTAGCTCTGCTCCAGCCATTGGGCCATGGGCTGTTCAGCACTTTCATTTCCTCTTAATGAGGCATTTCCATTTTGCATTAAATCCTTTAAAGGGTATTAGACAAAAGCAAGAATCCATATGATGATATTGCCTAGAAGTCAGGGCAAGAGCTAAGGGTGTGCATAGAAGAAGAGAACGTGTGAATTATAGTCCCTGCTTAATTATGATCTATGAATCAAATGGAGGAAGGTAAGATTGCTGTTAGGGACACATTCCACTTCTAAGGTCTTGTTTAGCAAACTGGGAGCAGATACAAAGCTAACTAAGCTTGCTGGTGGCTGTCTTAAACTGAGTAGGGCCGGTCTGAGAGTAGGTACTATTCCTCCAGTTTGTGATGGATCTTGAAAAAAAAGTTTATAAATTAAAAGACAACCTTTCTCTCCTTCCTTCCCTAGCTGTCCACCTTCTGCTCTTGTGAAGGAAATCCTGAGTAGTGTACAGAGGTTGACCTTCTATGAGTTCCTTATGGCACTTGCAAAACATCAGGGCATCAACAGAGCCCTAGGTAAGACTCCTGTGTGTGGTAGAGCTCTAGATTTTCAGTCATTCTGTGTTTCTGTGTCCTAGATTTTGCTTTGTCAGGAAGAGAGTGAGAGAAATTTTTTCATCTTCTTGGTGATGGATGAAACTTCAAAGACACCTTAGTGTCTGCTTGAATTTGTGGAGCTTCTTGAACAGTAAAACAGATATGAAATGTTGCCATAAAATAGCAGTGTTTTATATTTTCATTAGCTGATAGCACTTTAGAAGAAATATCCTTTTAACTTATTTGATAAAGTTGGACAGGGATGGTCAGGAAACAGGGAAGGTGTCTAACTGCTTTCAGAAACTTCTTTAGATAGTAACTGAATTGATGACCCCTTCATTCTCCCGCAAATTTTAAGTGACCATCCATTGCCAGCGAAGAAAAGGAAGGGGAAATGTGCATCTATGACAAAAATCTCTGCTGTTTTCTTGGCTCAAAGAATCAAACTAAGCTGAGTCATTCCCAGCTAGTCCTCATCATCCTYCAAGGTAGTTTAGTCTTGCCAGTACATTAATCAATGCTCTACTGAGTATCTGGTGGTGCCATAAAAGACAAACTGTTAAAAGATCTGTCCCAAACTGCTGTGGGAACCAAAGGGATTAGCAGGTGGCATCTCACCCTTCACTTCCATGTTGTACTGGCCAATATCTTCCAAGGCRGAGTAGTGAAGCATTGCATTGGCAAGGGGCAGTATGTAATCCACACGTATTTTAGCTTCATAATTCCACATTGTCTTTGTATGCCTTGCTGGGGCTCCTCCTCCTCGCCCTGCAATGGGGAGCAGAGATGGCTCTTTGCATTTGACAACGTTGTGTCCAGGAGGAATGTTTAATGCATGGAGGCCCAAACATGGGACTTGATTGATTTCCACCCAGCCAGTCACCTGGCCGCTGTGGGTAGGCTTTCTGTCTCTGTCTCTCTTCTGCTTCAGGCCTGGTGTGTGGCAGTCCTGTATTTCAAGGACAAACTAAAGTGAAAAGAAGGTGTACGTGGTGTGAAGGCTTCTGCCCTGGCACGTGTGTGTAGCAAAGTAGAATAAAGGTGTTTCTCCCCTGGCTGTGCCCTGCTTCAAGCAAACCATTGAAGTTGCTAGTGCTCCTGCGGGGCARGGCTGCTTAGCTGACAACACGGAGATTAAATATCAAAGGTGCACGAGCGCAGCGCTGCAGTCCCCCTCGGCAAGCACRCTCATGGGGCAGCGCGTGCACCACGCAAGGTGGGGCCTCGCTTGCACCAAAGTCTTTTTTCTGTGTGCCCTGCCAAAGCACCTCCAGTAAAGCGCAAAGGAAACAGGTGGGCAGAAGCAAACCTGACCACAGCTTCCATTGCCCACAGCTTCCATTGTGCCACCTGTCCACAGCTTCCATTGTGCCACCACCAAGTGTGCAGGTTTTCCTTTCCACGGGCTGCCCTTGGGCCCTCTGCCATCCTCCTGCTGCGGCCTCTCACAGAGGAGGGGCAGCAGCCACAAGCCTGACAGGTGCTGGCATCTTGGCAAAGAGGGGCAGATTTTTATCCCGGTGTCTTTTAATCTCTTCTGAAGGGTGATTTCAATAGTCTGCGGTGTGCAGGGGATCACAGGCTCCCCAAACCCTTTCTGCAAGGGCACTCTGAGGCAAAGGAGCGTCAGCCGGGCGCCTGCCTCCCCGCTGCTCTCTGCGGAGCCTCACAGGCAGCAGGCCCCTGGTAGAGGAACAGAGGTGCAATGAGAGCAGCTCACTCTGGTGAGSACCTCTGATGAGTTTGTCAAGCCAACTGCAATCTGCAGCCTAGCTCCAGTGTCAGTGTTGGTTCACGAATTCCTAAATGTCACTTACAACTTGCCCAGCTCGTAGCCAGGTCATACATGTGCTCCAGAGACCTCMCTGTACATTCTGCAACTGCGGAAACAAGGTGAGTTTTAGCTGCGTATCAGTTTGTGTGAGACCATGGGAGGAAGCAGGCTGGTGCACTTCACAGGAGCCCTGGTACTCTGTGACATAGTGCCAGGCTTTGCTTTGAATTTGCTGGATGAGAAGGCCAGAACTGGAAAAAGTGCAGGTGTCAGTTTTCTGCAGTGGTTCTAGTTTACTAGGTACTTGGGGCTGCATTTCTGACCTCTGCCATCCTGCYGGGGTGAGGGAGGTGGCTCTCCAGCCCCTCCTTCAGGAGCAAAATACCAGGGCCACAAAAAAGATTTGTGTTCCTCCATAGCAGTACAAAGCACTTTCCCCATCATACTGAGTCTGGCACCAGTTAAAAAAAAAAAGTTCTCTCCTCTCAGATTGGTACAAGTTAACAAGTGTATTTTTCCCAGTGTTGTGCAGGGGCAGTATCCAGACTGGGGTGGGCAAATACCATCATCCCTGTGCTGCCTACTGAGACTCTGCCGGGACCCTTGTGCAAGCTGGCGTTAGTTGCAGAGCCAGGAAGGAGGTGTTTCCCCAGAGCCCCATCTTTCTCTCTGTGCTATTCCTGAGGTGTTGGTGCCAGAGAAGGGCCGTGATGATCCAGCAGCTGTCCCAGGCCTGGCGCACACCCACGTCCTTCATCCTGCATAGGGTAGCAGCCCTGGCAAACATAAAAAGGAGCACACAGGCCTTTTGCTGATACAGAAGATGCATGATTACCAACCCCATTTAATCCAAGCTCAGTTGTGTCAGGGAAAAGCCTGCATGAAGAGCACAGCATCTGGTCCATTGTTCTTTGTCCATGCATGACCCTCAGTACTGGTCAGACTTTGGAGGCTGGTGTGACTTGAGCACTTTTCTTTATGAAGACTAACCCTGAAAAACCTGCTGCTCTGATGATACTTTCCTTTATGCTTTTTTGCAGGGGTTCTGCCAGATAAAGGAGACTTGTTTCTGGACCCTGCCATGGATCAGGAAATTGAAAAATTGTAAGTGGATTTGCCTACATTTGGAAGCAAAGCAACAGATGGAGGGTAGCTTGGTAGGGAAGGCTTAGTTGTTGCCCCAGTTCCTCTGCTCAGCTATAGAGGAGCACGGAGAGCAGTGTGGGGTCTCTTTAAGGTGCTTGATGCAGCTGACAAAATCCTTGGGAAATGCTTCAGAAGCAGCGGSACATCTGCCACATAGAGGGATCTATAGAGGCAGCAGGAGAGCCTCTAATGAACAAGGAGAGTCTGGTTGGATGAGTGAAAACAAGTGTGGTGGAAGACAGGCTCAGCCCAGAAGAAAGATCTGTAGTAAGGGGAAGATTCAGAGAATCTACCAGGTGCTGGTGCAAGGTGCATGAACACATCTCTATCTCCGTGTCATTGTGAAAGTCTCCTCAGCCCTGGCTCACCCCAAAGCTGCCATGGTAAAGGCAGAGAATGGGCCTGCCCATTATTTCTTTCTCTTCTCTTTCAGGGTAGCTCAGGTTGCAGGGCTTTCCCTCCCTGCTCCCAGCAGCTCCAGTGGGGATGCAGCTAACTTGCCTGTCCGCAGCGTGCCCAGGATTAGCTCTCCCTGGAAGCCTCTCCACCAGCGCCGAAAAATGGATGCTGAGAGCGAAGGCTCCAACGAAGAGACAGACTCCTCTGAAAACTGAAGGCCGTGAGGGTTGGCACCGGTGTCYCCAGCGCTCCCCGGAGGAGCAGCACCTCCTCCTCGACACCTGCCGTGCTGCTGGGCTCCATCCACACATCGCGTGCCTGTGCCAAGCGCTGCTGCTTGCCCTGTCAGCGCCCAGGCAGAACGCTGCCAGCCTCCCAGCTCCARAGCTGCGGGGAGCTGCTGGGTGTGAGCCCTGCGGAGCTGCAGAGCCAGCCTACCCTCTGCTGGCGAGCAAGACAAGGCAGCAGAGCGCGGCTCTGCGGCAGCCGGGGGCAAGCCGTGGGCGATGCTCCGCAGGGCGCTCGCTCCCAGCCTTGGGCAGGTGCCAGAGCAGCAGGAGCGCGTCCTGTGCTGGCTGCTCACCAGCCTCACGTTGTCGCTGCGCTCAGGCTGAGCTTAAAGTGCCACTGGCTGCGCTGCGCTCGTGCTCTCTTATTCCCAGTAAAGCTGCACCTGCATTTGATCAAAGCTGTATAAATTCCTGGAGTTCCTAGAACAGAAGAGCTTACGGGGTGCCCTGCCACCTGTCCCTACTTCTTCCTGCCTGCGCCCAAGCACTGCCAGGGCAAATAAGGTAGATTCCCGTTGAGTAAGTACATGATGGGGTCTGGTGCCGCCACTGTATCCTGTGCCCTTCTGTGGGGCCTGCCATTGTCCCCACTGCCTCACACAGCATAATGAGGGGAAACAAAAGGCAAAAAGCCTGGCTTGGTGCAAGGCAGCTTTGGGGCTGTGGTGGGGGGTCGGAGCAGGGAGGCAGCTGTTAGAACTGCTGGGCCCCTGGTGGTGGAGCCAGTGCAGATTAATGGGCATGAGGGGAGGAGGACACAGCTCGCAAATCCCTGTGTTGTTGTTTTGTTTTTTAACATAAACGCTGGCATTCCTCTATCATCACAGCGTAGCCCTTCCACCCAACCAGGTGAAGTGCGCGCGGCCGGGACGGCTCAGCGGCACGGCCTGCACAGCCCCCGGCATGCTGCTGGCTCCCAGCAGGGATGGGCTCCTCTTGCCCCAGGGGGAAGAACTCGCTTCCCTTGGCCCTTCCAGGAGCCCCGGCCTCACAGCCACAACACGGACCCCAGGGCACCTTCACGCACAGCTCAGAGCTCTCCTAAGCCAGAGTGGATTTAGCCCCGTGAAGCTATTTTTGGCTAATCCCCTAAGCACAGGTGACTCTGCACTGCTTCCCCATCACGGCACCAGGGGTAAGAGCTACTTATTGTACCTTATTAATTTATCAGCGTGTCCTTCCGCTGCTCGCTGCTGTCCTGCTCCATGGGGCAGTGCGAGCCCCAGCTCTCTGCGCTGCAGCCGCAGGGGGGAGGCAGCACTCCAGGACCCCCGGCACAGAGCAGCACCGAGCGCCCCTTCCCCAAGCGCCCCTTCCCCTCTTCCTCCTGCCTGCAGCACCTCCAGCTCCCACAGCCCAGCGCACATGGACAAGCACCAGGAGGGAGCCCCAGCAGGGCCAGGGCAGGGGGTGGGCAGGGGCAGCAGGGAGCCCAGCCTTGCCCCCAAAAGGCCCAGGCTCCCTTTTTGCTAATACAGGTCTTGGCAGCAGTTGAGGGCTTAGCCTTTTTGTCCTTTGGTAAGAATTCAGTGTCCCATCAAGGGCCTGGGCTCTGTTACAGGCCAGGCCCAGCCCTGGCCATCATTTGCTGGCTGCGTGGCTGTTACAGGGCTGAGCAATAAAATAACCAGGAGTCTAATGGGTTTACAATGCTTCTCCACTTAAACTAAAACCCTGACCTAAGTCCTGGTCTTCTCTAGCCCTAAGAGAGGGGGGCATCACATGTCCCCCATCACATTAAAAAAAAAAAAAAAAAAAAAAGTCTTTGCTTGGTTTGTTCTCCAGCATCTGTCCAAGCTGGTTTACAAGACAGAAGAAAGGGCTATTCCACACCCTGAGGCAGACCTCGCACATACAAGGGACTCCTCCTTTTGCCACACTCCCTGACTTCTCCAGTTGAAAACAGCTTCTTACCACTGATGGTAACTGCTACAGCAGCCTGCATGGAAAGAGGCAGGGAGCACTGTGCAGAACAAGGCTGCAGTCATGTCCATGGGGACCAGGTAACACAGTGTCCAGGAAAATGGCATCACTTGCTCTGCCCCTTGCTCAGCTCAAGTACAGACCAGACCACAAAGGGCAGGAGCACCAAGAAGAGCAGCCGCAGGAATTCCTGTCCTACTGTTCAAAGCAAAGACATGAATCCTGTAAGAAGGCCTGTCTCCACTGCTAACAAGTAGCAGTGGATTTGAGGGCACACTGATTTTTAATACAGAGTGGAATCCAGAGATAGTTGGGAAGCAGTCCAGGCACAGCCATCTTCTGATCCCTTCTGCTTACCTCCCCCCTTCCCACCCACCCTAGATGAACTAAGACAGTCCTGCAGTGTTGACTCCAGGCAATCAAAGGTGACGTCTTGCTGGCTTCCCTGTGTGCTGCAGTCCCTGCATCATCAATAGGAGCCGTAACGATCCTGAGGAAGAAACAAACCAAGACACTATGTTAAAACACTTCATACAAACTCCAAAGAGAAGACAACAATGTCTTTAAGTGTTTAGGACTGGAAGACAACCAAGAGACAAGTGGCCAGCACAAGGTTACCTAAAGACAGGACACTATACAAAGGCAGGAGGTAAAACCACAGCCCCAAATTAGAGGGACTTGCTCAGGATTGCAAGGGGAAAAGCACCTCTCACAGGACAAGGTGTCCTCTTCACCAGGAGATAAGGTTGGCCAAGGAGAGCTCACTGACCATCTGGAATTGCTCAGCTACTGTAGTGTAGCTGGCAGCTACCAAAGGCAGGTCTCTACACTGTGCTTTGGGAAGACCACAATACCTCTGGTGGGAGTCAGGATACGGTGGGAGGCTAGCATCACATTTGGGGACTGCATGGAGTGCTGCAGTGTCACCTCACCTGGAGGGAGTTCATCACCCCGTTGGCTAGGACGGCCATCTTGCCAGCAACTGATTTCACTCCTTGCTTGAACTGGGCGATGTCGGCTGTAGGCAGGACATTCCCAATTGAGACGCCACCTGCAAGAGCCAGGGAGTGAGTGTGGAGGCTCCCCAGTTCCAGGGGGCATTCTGACCCCTTCTGGGCCCAGGGCTCTGAAGCTGCCGCGTGTCTCTCCTCTCCCTCCCCGGCGAGCACTAACCCACCTGAGTGCGCGTTCTCGCCGTCACCAAAGAGGTCTGCGGAGCTGATGGCGCTGCTGCCCGAGAGCTGCTGCAGGCGGGATCGGGCTTCATACTGCAGCAGCAGGAAAGCAGAGCAAGAAAAAAAAGTTAAAGGGAGGGAACAAGCATGACCTGAGCAAACTGGAGAGGATGAAGACAAAGCTGTGCTAACTTCAGCACTGCAGCACACACCTACCTCAGTATCTGCCTCCCGTCCGAAGAACATATCTGAGGAGATGGCTTTTGCCCCTGCAAACTTCTGCCGCGCTTCATTTGATTCCACAGCTGATGTCCTGCTCTCTGTCTCACGCCTGCTGATGGGTCTGTGGTAATGAGAGAGAACAGAGCAAAGAAAAAGCTCTCAGGTCCCATTCAATTAAAGGAAAGCTATGAAAGCCCAAGTTCTAACTACTGTAATGGCTCCCTCTTGGCCCCCCCCATATCAGGGCAGCCATCCCAATGGCCACAAAGGCTGTATCAAACATAAGAGACACAAGTAGCAAAAAAATACCAATGCCCTTTTCACTGAAGACCCTTTTCTTCAGGCTAGGAAACTACTCCAGTCAGTACACAGCCCTGATGTCTACTTGACTTGTGCTACAGAATATTACTTTCAAGTGCAAGAGCCAGATCCAGTCGTATGCAGTAACATCTTCCCACATCATCCCACTCTTTTGCCCAATACTCAAAGCACAGTGGCACAAGTGGGTACTTACCTCTCTGAAACTGGTGGAATACTGGAAATGGTCACCTCAGGTTCCTCCTCTTTGTCAATACCCCATGAAGAGTCTGTTTCCCATCGCGAGCCAAAGGTATCTCCCAATGAGAAGGGATTATCTTTATACCTAGGTGCCAAAAAGAGGTAGCTCAGGCCAGACGTTACATTCTGAAATGAGCCAAAGCTACACTGAAGCTTAGTCTTACTTGGGAGGTCCAGATGTGAAGCCTCCAGCATCTTCAAACAAGTCCAACTGGGAGCGGGAAGATTTTGCAACCAGCGGCGTCTCCTGCTCAATTACTTGCATCTCAGACATCACCGAGTGTGAAACAGAACTAGCACAACAAACAGGCAGTGAGGGCCAGGCCAAGCATCCAGCCCCTAGAACCAGTCTGCCTCAAGGCTCAGTCTGCCCTGCACACACAGGGCAGGCACCACAAGTCTCAAGAGAGTCACAGGACACCTGCCCCCCTCACTGCACAGCTGATCTAGTCTAATTTGATTCCCGGCAAAGCCGCAAGCTACATTAAGGCAGTTATTCTGCAGGGGGGCAGCTGTCAGCAGCAGGGCTCTAGGGCTGGAGACTGACTTCAGGAAGGCTCAAATGCAGCCCAGAACCTCTGAACAGAGCATTCTTACCTTCAAGCACTTTTAAACATAACCCCACATACAAACACATGAATTGTGATGCTTATTTGTTATATTGCCTTCAGGAACCTATATTCCAAAGCAGAGTAGTGTCAAGGAACCTACATCTGTGCTACAACATCCAAAGCCAAGTACCTTCTGGACACCAAGCCCATGCCCAGCCTCTCAGCTTGTTCACGTTTCTTCCCTTCAAGGTTCTGAAGTTTCTTCTCCTCCTTCTTCCGATCAAGCTGCAGTTCCTGATAAGCCAGTCGCATTGAGGTGACACTGATGGAAAAAACTGTGGTAGGTAATGACTCATGCCCCTCCACCCCCAGTCCCATCCTACGGGCGGCCAAAGGGGAACATAACCCCGTCCACCATCAAGTACTGATTTTTCCAGTAGCTAAGCCAAGAATCCTTATACAGAAGCTACTGCTGATCTTTGCATCGCACCTCATACCTCCACTGGGATTCTGCTCTTTTTGTGCAGACTATGACTTCCTTACTGCCAGTTTTCCCCTCGCCCAAGGGCAGAGGGATAAATAAGTCCCCATGCAGATCAACCTTTAGCATCTTCAAGGTCTCAAGATCAACCAAAAGCAAAGATATGGAAGTATCTGCTCCTTTAAAACTCTTCTGGAGGTGTTAATTTGAACAAAATGTGGCAATGTGATTTGTGCCCTGCACTAAGGGCCACCTCTGCTTCAGGTTCATCTTATCACACAGGATTTTACGTACTTGGCTGGTCCCAGGGTGAACAGCACCGACCTCTTGTTGCTTTTACCTTAYGTACGCAAGGTATTGAGCCCAAACAAGGCACTTACATGGATTCCTCAGCTTGTTTCCTGGACTCCACAGCCTGCTGCTCCCTCAGCTGCTCCGCAGCCTGGGCTTGCCGCTCGATCTCACTGAAGCTCTGGCTGCTCACTTTCTGGGCTCCAAGACCCTTTTTTGCACCCAGCTTAAGGAACAAACAAACAAATGTGAATTGTTCATCTCAAAGTATAAGAAAACTTGGATCCTGTACCCTGCTGCACTTACCAGGCCTCTAGTCAGCCTGTTTGGTTATAACCTACAAGCCCAGTAGAGCCTGCAGCAGGGGATGAAAGCACACACAGAATTTAACCAGCCAGGAACCAGTGCTAAGAGATTAGCCATACGGACTCCTGATCATCAATATAATGATCCAAAGCCTAATCATTTTTGTCCCTTACATAAAAGCTGTTTTTCAAAAGAGGCAATGAAATAATCAAAGCTCTCCCTTTCCCAAACAGCTATCTCATAGGCAGTTTGATTAATAAGGAAGAGACCAGGGAAAGACGAGCAGGAATACACCAGAAATGCTCTGCTTTCTCTCCATAAAACAAGAGTTCAGACATACCCCTTTCTTGGCAGCTCCTGGCTTCTTCTTTCCAATGAGGGAAGATTTAATTTCTGTGAAAGGAAAGCAGCAGCATGTAAGCAGGAATGATTTAAGAAGGAAAAATTAGTCAGCAACCCACACAAACATCCACCACAGCCCAGCTGCTATAAAGTCCACGGCACACCATGCAGCTTCACAACATCAGCCTGAGTGACTTCACCAAGCCAAGAAAGCAGCACTGAGAGGGTTGAGAAGCTCCACAGTTGCAGGCTGGTGGCTGAGAGAAGCATGTTTGTCCCTGGAGAAACTCCTAATTCAATTAAGTCCTTCTAACAGCTCCCCTAGGTGTCATGCAGCTGGTGACCCTATCCAGTAAAAGTTACAATAACTAGAAGACTTAATTTGTTTCATACATAAATCCAGGAATATATGATTTCAGAGCATGTGAAGGTCAGTGTTCCTTATCAGTGCCTTAGGGACAAAGAAGTAAGAACTGTAAGATCAGAATTATATGTTCAGACCAACTGCAAGATGGACCCAAGATTCAGTGAACTATAAACACAACAGAYTCCCCAACACCTTCCACCAAGAACATGTCCCTCTGAGGACAAGAAGCAAAAAAAATTGGCTGAGTCCAGCCAAGTAGCAGATGTTTAGGCAAAAGTGTAAGAACAAAGCAAACATGAAGTGGGTTTGCTGGGGTCACTTCTCCAGCAATTCTTAACCAGTCCAAYTCTTTCTTAAACAATGTAGGTTTTGACAGCCTATACTCTAGGTCATCCCCAACAGCCTTTTCTGTGGCTCTTCATGATTTATCATATACTCTTCAAATTGGGAGCTTTGTATCTTCATACTACTCAAGACACAGGCAGTGTTTTCATCTCACCATTCCCAGCATTTGACTAGGTTTTTGAAGTGTTTTCATCTCACCATTCCCAGCATTTGACTAGGTTTTTGATCACTATGAATGAATGTTTTTAAGAGGAACTATGACAATAAGATCCCTTTCCCAGATAAGCAATAGGCACTTTAGAACCCAGTATGATACACATTAACTTTGATTCATTCTCTCCTTCCAAGCACAAGAAGCTAATGTTAGAGCTGAAGGCAGCCACAAAAGGGGCAGGCAGAGTTGGCACAAGCTGCCAGCACAAGCCAGCTGTTGGCCAGTTACCTCTGGCAGGAGCAGGCCCTTGTGTTGACAGACACATGGACACATCTAAAGAAGAGACATAAAACATGGGGCCATGAAATAGATGGACACAGCCTTTTCACCCAGGATGAACACACTATGGGCCAGTAAATTCTTGTTAAGCAGAGAAACTCATCTAGATGCTCCATGCGCAGCTCAGACAGCAATGGTGGTGGACAATCCCATAARGAGATAGCTTTGTACTTGGTCATCCAAAGAAGCTGGAAACCACCAATAAATTGAACATATTTGTGCCCAAGTTTGGGGGTCTACAAACATGTTCTGTACTGACACCACAGGAGGATAACCTCCTTTTGACATTCTGAAGATAGGCTCATCAGTTCCAGCTTCCTGAGCAGGGGGAATAAGAGTAAGGTGGATAAGAGTTACCAGATTTTCACTCACCTAGGGGAGCTTTAGGAGATGTGCTCAACAAGTCAATTGATGGGCCTTGACTAGAACCTGTGGGCACAAAACCAAGAGAAATTCAGCAGAGAAATATTCTCATGCACATCCCCAGATGCTCTACATCACTTCTAGACTTTCCGTCCCCCAAAAATACAAGCTAAATCACTGTCTGAAAGCTGCAACTTCAGAAACATAACTATCTTCTGTCTCCACAAAGCAAACTATTCCCAGTGCAGTGTCCTAAACGCATTAAAGAAAGTTAACGCTTAGCAGAGGAATGCACAAAGCTGCTACAAACAAAAATGTTATACCACCATATTCTTGCATTCTTTGTAATTCATATCTAGAATCAGTACTCAGCTTTCTATTCATCTTCTTTATACATTATTATTTCCACAAAAGATAGYAGAGAAGCAGGGTAGCTAACCCTCCCAAACCAAGACTGTTTCACATTTCAGAAAAAGGAGAGAAGTAATTTCTTGTTCCTGAACAGAGGATTCTCTCTTCTCAAAAGTCTCCCCTAATTTAGCTCAACAGCTTCATTACAATGCATAGAGCTTCCAGTCCTGCTCCAAGCCTGAAGCAGGATGGAAGTCCACTCCGTCCAACCCTGTTACAAGAGTATTCTGCTGGAAGTAAGGTCAGGTTCTTGAGAAAAGAGTTCAGCAGGGAACTCACATGACACTTCTTTGCCTTCTGATGTCCTTGTTTTTTCCATCTCCAAGGAAGACTGTGCAGGATTCTGGCTGGCGTCAGCTACATCCCAGGTACTGGAAGACTGTAAGGAGACATTCATTCCAATGATTTGCACGGGAATGAACAAACTAGAATAGCCCTACACTAATTTCAAGTTTAGTGATTCATATCCAGTTATAGGCTAAAGAGAACATGATCCTAATTCCACAGCATGCCTTCTTTGAAGATAGAGATAACTTATGGACAAGTTCACATTCCCTCAGATAAAAACTAAAAAGGGACATAAATTTAAGGAAAATGGATGCTAAGCTGAATGRAAGCCTAATACAAAGGACAGCATTACTCAAAGAACAGTAGTATCAGAGTTGGCTACTACAGAGACTTCTCATCTTAAAAAGATGAACTTAAATCTGGGAGAAATAGAGTTTTCTTTAGAAAAAAAACCAAAACTGGCTTCTGTTATTTTTATTGTCAAACAGCCAGTTCTGATGTTACTCTGTTCCCTTGAGAGGGTGCCTCTGGCATTACGGAAGTAGTTGCCCAATTCCACCTGCAGGGTCCAAGCACTGAAAAGCCGACTAAGCCATAAGCTCAAAGTAACAGCCAGTCCTTGTTTTAGCTGTCCAAACAGACTATGTATTTAAGGAGTAAACAAAGCGTTTTCCTCGTAAGGGCTGGCATCAGTATCCCTCGAAGACAAAAACAGTCCCAAAGACCTCCACACGTGCACTCCACGCGGCTCCACGGGGGAGCACTTAGGTGTGTGTCTGCATCACAGGCTCGTGACTCAATCTTAGTTCCTCCATAACACTAGTGAATAAGATACAATTGAGTCACTTTCCAAACCCAGTGGGACTGCACTATCCAGGCTCTTGGAGGAATTGCTCTCTGAGAGCTGTGACAGCTGCCCGGTTTGGACAGTTCTTCTCACCTGTGTGTGCTCCATGAAAAAATCGGCATCGCTCTTGTCAGGCGAGTGCCCAGGGGCTCCACTCAGCCCATCTATCAGCAGCTGAAAAGAGAAGATGAAAGGAGATACCCTGCGAGGCTCGGCACCCAGCACGACGGGTCGTTAACGGCGCAGGGCTGCCCAGACTTACGTCGGTGCCGTACTTGGCCATGGCAGCGCTCGCCAGCTGCCGGATCTTCTCCCGGTACATCTGGGCGGCGCGACTGTTGTACTTGGCATTGGCGTCTGTGGTGGTGCAGCCGTGCTGGCGGAAGAAAGCGCTCTGGAAAAGAGAGAAGCAGTTACTCTTCTGATCGCTGTATCAGGTGCAAGCAAGCATCAAACATACAGGAGCTTGAACGCAACAGAAAAAGGACACTTCCCTGAAACAGGGCATGTCACACCAAGTGTGGAGTACAAATCATTCATTGCTCAACTCAGCTTTCAACACAACTCACTTTCTGGGCCTCAGAGGGCAGAAAAACAATCCCGGTCCCTCACAGGGGGATGCCTCTGAGTCACRGTGCTAATCAAGAGCTCTCAACGTGATTAATATTACTAATCCCTTTCATTTAAGAGGACTGTATATTTCCTATAAATGAAGTGTAAGGAAGTGAGAGGTCTGCATATCAGAAATACATTCACAAAGGTCACAGGCTGACGTCTGAGTGCAGCTGACAGACACCTCTCTCCATTACACAGCTCCAAAAAAAGAAGAGGCAGTTGACACCCTTTGGGACCAGTAGAACTTTGYGAAGGACAGGGACAAGAGCCAGAGGATGCCACTTAGCAAGAAGGAAGATGAGCAAAATGCCTACAGAGGCTCCTCACCGCGTTGGCATTGCTGCCCACTTGCATACATCTCAGCTGGAACCAGTTCCAGTTAGAGTCCAGCTCTGTAGACCTGTGTGAGAGCAAATGACTTCCATTAATAACATACAGGCGTCCCAGATGCTAACACGTGCTCTAATCCAGTATGGCAGGGTATGATAGCGAAGGTAAAGCTGACATCTCAGTAACTTTCCTGATATTTTGTTCTCATAACAAATCAAGATCTTAACTTTTAAGGTTATCATAAATCCATTTGAGTTTCTCACCAGCAATTTTGACAACCATGTCAAAACTTAAAGGGTCTCTCACTGGAGTCACTCAGGAGCACAAGGCCTTGGCCAGGAAAGCAAAACCACCAGCTTCGATTCTGCATGTGAACTCATCACAACCTGACAGACTCGCAGGGTCAGCCTATCCCCGGGACAAGAGCAGGACACATCACAGAGCAACTGAACAAGTGCTGACGTGAAGCTGTGCGATTGAACACACTCCATACTCCACTTATCCCTGAATGAGTAAAAATCAAAGGCTTCTTACCTGATACACATTATAAGCACTCCAAATACGAGATATAACCTCAACGCCCAAAGCCACCTTAGCCAACAAGCTGGCACAGGAAAAGCCTCCCTTGCTTGGCACTGCTGGAAAACCTTTCCTCCTGTTTTACRAGTGGGATTTGTGTGGCACACCCTCTCCTTCTAGCTCGTACAAATGGGAGCCCAGCGCAGGTTTGCGCAGGGCTGTGAAAGCAGCGCAGGGCGGTGCTGGAGCCCAGAAAGGGCYGGTGCTGCAGAACTCGCCTTGGGCACCAGGCAAACGCCAGGCAGCCGCCTCGGGGCCCCAGCTCCGCGGCTGCCGCCCGGCGCGGCACGGCGCGGCACGGCGCGGCCCGGCCTGTCCCGGCCCGGCGCGGCGCGGCGCACGCACCTGATGAAGCTCAGGTGGACGCCCAGGGAGCGGTGCACGCCGGAGCAGTCGATGCACAGGAAGACCCCGTAGGTGATGCTGGCCCAGCTCGGGTTCTTGGCGCCGCAGTCGAAGCAGGACTACAGACAGGGCAGAGCGAGCCGCGCTGAGCGCCGCCTCGGCCGCCCCTTCTCCCTCTCCCCCTCCACCCTCCCCTTCCCCTTCTCCTTCCCCTCCATCTTCCCCTTCCCCGCCGCCCGCTCGGGC